GCCACGAGAGTGACGAATTTTAAAGTCCATTTTGTTATTTTTTTAAAAGCATCAGCATCTGGACTCTAATAATTTTATAATAAATACTAATATAAAAACTAATAATTATTATTATCAGCATCGTGATGAAAAAGTAATTGTCATTCGTTGGCATAAACTATTGAAATTTAATAGTTTTACAGAGACATAAATTTATAAATTACGAGTTTTGCGGTTGATATATTACATCGTGAACGCCATGTTATAATCGTATATTAAGGAAAATTGTGTTGTCCTTAGCATATATCAACATTGAATACATGGACGTGTATGTAAATTCCTTAGGATGGAGGGTTGCGCTTTTGATATTTTATAGAGCATCTTTCTCGTAAGTTTCTAAAATTTAGCGTTAGTATCGGGAATATATCACCTGACATAATTTACGCATGTATAAACTGAATCCCCATTATTTGTCAATGAAATTTTGGTTTCAATTGTATTACTAGGTACAAGACAGATGGTACTGCCTGTGAAAGTGGTTGTATAGAAGATAAAAATAGAGCATACAAAATATGGTATTTACTTTTTTTCATCATAGTATTTAGATACAGAAAAAGTGATAAGATTAAATTTCCACATTAACAAATTTCAAATTTAAATTCATATTTAACATTATCCATTAGTTTTTTATTTTAGAATATTAAATGTCATTTATAATAATACCTATTTTATTTTTTGATTTCTTAGAAATATAAACTGAAGAAACTAATAAAAAAACCAATTAGTTTATAATTTGGAAAATTTACTTAATTTACTTAATTTTGAAATACATTTATTAAATAAGGTATAAACGTTTTTTTTTAAATTGGTTGTTTCATACGTTAAATAAGTAAAATAAAGTAAAATACATAAGCATTAGTATTATTTGAACTGAATATTTTGTAGTAAATGATTGAAGTCGGCAATGAGGTATACAGTTGTTTATTTTAATATTATAATACTACACTAAAAAGTAAATAAATAATTTAATGAATTTTTAATACTCATATAATGAAAAAAAAAATAATGTTCAAATAATAAAATCAAATAAATAAAGTACAATTTTCATAGTTATTTTTCGAAGATGTATCCATTAAAATGCTTTCCTGGTGTTACTTAACTCATTAAAATACAAATAAGATTAATTAGTAATAATAAAAAGTTACCGTGTATGTTTTTGTCATATACATTATATGAGTACATAATATTTTGTAGGTTTAAGTAAAATTATAACTATTTAGTTGATAAAAAATTATTTTTTGTCACAATATTATTGTATTTTAATCCAGTAAATATTTTATTTATATTTTTTTTATATGAGTAAAGTGTTTTGTTTTTTATTATTTGTATAAAAAAAAATTGTTTTATACTTTTTATAAAAGAATTTTTTTTTAAATTGTAAATTTTTTATAGGGAATATTGAACCTAATATTTTTAAATCTTCAATATTATATTTACCAATACAGTGACATTATCATATTATAATATTTCTTCATACTTTAGAGAAAATTATTTTTGTCATAGTGAAAAATATTTCTATGGTAACTATTTATTTTTTAAAAGGGATATTTTATAACTACGATAAGGTAACTTTGATTTAATTTCTGCAAAAAATGGTTAGTCCAATTATTAATTCATAAAATATTTACTAATTTATAATCTATACAAGCGTTTACAATAAGAAAATGTTATTTGATAAAAATAATAATATAAAAGTACGGATAGATATGAAGGTGCTTTACATTAGAAACATCTAAACATGAATAGCAAGTGACTTTTTATTGTGCTTGGAATTATATATACAAATTAGAATTTAATAAATACAATATATATATATATATAAAAGTAAAATATCTCTAGGCTATTTATGTTATTTAAGTTTAAGTCGTGTAACTGTATTTTCATGAAGATTGTTGGTAAGAAGTTGAAATATGAGGCTATTTCAATGGTGTTTCGTTCCGAAATGGAGGTGTGAATACCACATTATGTGACAGCTCTTTATCTTATGGTTGGGATTTTTAGATCACTGTTCTATGATATATTGGTATTAGTAACTTACCAGGAAGGGGGATTGGTAATCATGGCTGCATCCGAATTGCGTGCGGAAAAAAAAGAACTATGTTTGAAAACAACCGAATTGCGTGCGCGGTTTTTTCGAGACACAGTCGAATTGCGTGCGTGGTTTCTTCATGACAGAGCTGAATTGCGTGCGCATATTTGATTTAAAGACAACCGGTTTTCACCGAGCTGGATGTGTCGGCCGAAGAATCATTTATCTGTATCTAATATGATGGCTATATATGGGTATTACAAATATATTTCAATTTGTAGAAATCTTGAAAAATGTACAAACCGATGTTTATGTCAAAATTCGTAGCTCAAATGTAACAAAAAAACGACGGGAGGTATTAGAAAAAGAAGATTATATTAATGACATTATGCATCAATTTCAAAATAAAATGTGAACTCGTTTGGAATTTATTGAAAATTTGGTGTATAAAAATTTGCCAGTTGAGTTTTAAGTTCGTATACAAAACTCAAAATATATATATAAACAAACCTATTTATTTTTATTTTTTATTTTTTCTTATTTTTATAATATTTAGACTGTAATTTTAAATTACATTTTTTGCTACTCATATAAAATATTTAAATATAATCGTTTTTACGACATACCTAATAATTTTATTGTATTATCACTTGAATTAATATTGTTTTAATAATTTGTATTCGAAGAATAAATGTATTCTTTAATTATTTAGTGTAACTCATTTGTTCATTTAAAGGTAAAAAAAAAAAAATTGTCCGCGAAATGTGTGATCTGGCACACCGTGCGGCATCAACACTGTATCTCGCACGCAACTCGGCTCTGTCACAAAAATACCGCGCACGCAACTCAACCCTGTTATGAAAAAACTACACACGCAATTCGACCCAGAAAACGATTTTCACACGCAACTCAGAACCGCCGGTAATCATACGTGAGCAGAGAGCTTGAAATGCTTAAATAGTTCTAATGTTTGCTGGTTTGAAAACAAACTCCAGGGTACAGTTTTGTAGAAATTCGATACTTACTTGAAAAATACCGAATTTTAAACGTACTGACGTATAGAATTATAATAACAACGATACACGTATAAAAAAGTACGCAACTATGAATACGTTTTTTTTTTCTAATAATACGGTACTTCTCCGAAACCATATGTTATATAGTAACGTGTATTGAATATTATTTTGAAATATCGTATTCATAATAAAACTTAAGCTACTAACACCAGATACAAACAGTTACACACACATTAAAATTGTATGTTACGTGAATGTAACATGAAATATTTTTCCGTAATAACGTAAGAAGCTTTTGCTGCAACACGACTGTGTCCGTTTTATCTTTATACATGAAAAAAAATAACATGACTGCGCTTTATGAAAAAAAAATATTACTTTTTTTTTAAATATTTTCAAATAATTCAATAAAACTGGTAGTGTTACGAGGTGGACCTCGCGGCAGTCGCACAGTGGTCTGAAATCTAATTTTAGGCGGAAAAAAATTAACACCTCTTAATTTTTAGTTAAAATGATTATTTAATGAATCAAAACTATATGTTTCGAATATACTAAATCCAAATTAAACATAGGTTAACATTAATTTCAAAACCAAAATGAAAATTAGAATCTGCCAATGATATTATTCTATTTATGCCTGTTAACTTTAAAAATAGTTTTGTAAATTTATGGCACATATTTAACATAAATTAGTTGACGTATAGTATATCAAAAACTTTTTCGTAGGAAGTATATATTGTAGAAAATTAATTGAAATATTTTAGCTAGTATAAAAATATGTCAACAGCTGAAATAATTGTTATTTAAGCAAGTTAATGTAATCATACATATTTAAATTTTTTTCCATGTGGCGAAAATGCTCCCCTGTACTAGTTTTAAATATATCATACAAGTTTATTAATTTAATTTTTTATTCTTCTAGTGACTTTGAAAATATCAAAATATAATAGAAATAAATAATTCATTACATTTTGATATTTGATATTGAGAGCTATGTGATATACTCACTTAGTGTACCTAATTTAATATCGGTAATACGTTAAGTAGTGTTGGAAATACTCTTTAGTTATGTCATTCCTTTTTTAGACTTGACTCTTGCAATATCGGCTATATGGTTGTAAAATCAGTTATAATTCAACTTAAGTAAAAAGTTTTTATTATTAGTTATTATTTATTTTAAACATTGAAAGCTAGTATATTGACAAATGGAATAAATTACCAATAAAATAAAATCTACTCTCATCAAATCATGGTAAACATCATTAACAATTAACAATACATTTTTCATCAACGGTTGTAAGGTAGTATTTAAACAAATTTCATTAAAATGAAAAAAAATATATTTATAGTTTATTCGTAGAAAGCATAAAATTGTTTATGAATCGATGTATTTCTTGACCTCTAAATAGATAATGTGTAAACACTATTCGTATATTCACTTACAGTTAAGTATATGCACAAATAAAACTTTTTATACCTGTATCGTGGAAATCATTTAATTAATTATTCTCTGCTACCATTCTTAAAATGTAATAATGTCTGATATTTTTTTTTTGCACTGTTCATAATCTTTGTTTATAAAACACATTTTAGTCTTATATTTTACTGTCGAAGCACGTGAAAATTGTATAAAACACTTATCACACGCGTATAAAAATGTTTAAAATATTTTTTGTGCTAGATCCACTATGACGATTTAATAATAATATAATTAAAAAAGCTTAAAAACTGTACATTGATGTGTAGTTATGTACAAAATTTTATCGATCCTAGGATAATTTATTATTATTATTGTCATATACTGTGACTATAAAATGCTCATAAAGCCGGGGAAATTTAGATGAAAAAGAAAAAAAAGAAAAAAATTCCATCAACATTGGGCTTTTACAATATAAACAACGGTGTTTTATACTCACCGGACATGTTGAGCTTCAGTTCTCCATCCGAGTACACTCCCACTTTGATCCATTTGAAAATACCCGGCTCCACTTGTTTGAAGTGTATGATATTGTAACGAGCAGGACCATCTCCGTTGGAGTCGAAATGGAAGTTGTCGCCCGTAAGACCTGTAACGAAAAAAAAATATATATATTTTAGATGAAAAATATCTTTGTTAAATGTGCATATGTGACTTTACGAGTTACGGATAGAATGTCACGAGTATGGCTAGGATGGATCGGAGGAAAGATATTTTATGGAAACTATACACTCTAGTCGATTGGTTGGCAAATTTTTTTATTTTGACAACAAAAAAAAGAATATCAAATAACGAAACGTGAAAAAAACGATGTCTGTAACAAACGTACATCATATTCAAATAGAATAGCATTAAATGTGATAAGGTTAATAACAACAACAATAAAAATAAACACTCCAATGACCAATCGTATTTTTATTAAAATTAAAATTGGTATGTCTTGGAATTATTTTTATTTTTCTATTTTGAATAGAATTGCATAATTATTAAAATAATATTAAATTAGTTTAATACTTTTTAGAGATGTTTCGTTATTTATTATTGTGATAATATTTTATATTGTGATATAGTTGATGAGTTTTATAAATAAAGGTTACAATGTTATAGTTAAACATTTTGAAAAAAGTAAAGTCATTCTTTGGTCTTATAATTGAGTTCACAACTTTTAGAAATTGGTAACAATATCACGTATGTTTGAAATTGAATAAATTTTAAAATAGATAAATTCGTAATTGATATTTTGTTTAATTCTACGATATATATGTTTAATTCACATTATATGTTTATAAAATGTCTATTTTAGTTTTTTCTATATTACACCATATATTTCACAAATTTCATAGAAAAAAGTATTTGTGGTACGTTATGCTGTAAATCTTTTAAATCTTGGTCTTTTTCTGAAGCAATAGACAATAACATAACATTTGATCGGGTTATAAAAATACGATTTTTCAGTAAATGTACTTTTGATGTTTATACGGTTAAAGCTTTCGGAAAAAATTCTAACACGAATAAGGCAAATACTTAGATATCAATCTTGTTTTCATCTATAGAAAAATGGTTTGTAAAATACAAAAAAAATATTATGTGTTGAATTACATAATATTTGTTTTTATTTATGCATACCAACTGCTCTATGAATCACGTAAAAATGCAAAATCAATGATACGGAATGTATGATATAGAATAATGTTAAAGTCTCGAATCACACGTTGTAATTGCATACCATGTTTGTAATTTGAATACATAAGACTTTAGGTGAGGTTATCAATCTCAGACTTATCGGTGGAATAGCATTGAAAACTTTTAAGAGTTTATAAAATGGTTTACTAACCATTGACATTAATATATGTATACGTTTTAAATTTTTCTTTTTTGTGCTTTTAATGAGTATGAGAACTGCGAACCTTAAGTTTCATTTTTTGCATTTATCAATTCGTTTAATGTAACGTAGAGCGTATTTAATTACATTTTATTTAAATCAATATTGAACAATTTTGATATGCCAATATCTTCTGCAGAAATTAAGGGTTAAAGAGTGAAAAAATGGTTTTTTATTTTTTAAGGAACTTAAAATATGGGTAGTATTATATTTATACATTTTGAAATATTTTAATACCAAATTAGTTTTTTTTTCTTGTATTTCACAGAATTTTATTATAATCGCCATTTCAACGTGTAATAATAATTATTATCACAACCTTTGAATCTTGTATACCACATAAAATAAATTAAATCAAACGTTGTCATTATTTTGGTCAACAAATAGCTGTTAAACTTAAATTAGTGACATATTCAGAGAAAATTATAAACAAAACTTATGTCAAATCATTAATATTTAAAGCACATATAGTATTTCATAGCTCTCTAATTGTTATAAATTGCTTTTCATAGGCACGTAAAATATAAATTTTGGACTGAAATTAGGAATATTAGTTTACATTTTCATTAATAGATTTTCAAATGTATTTTTAATGGCGCGGAGGGATTGGGATACTAGCGCTGAGTATCCGTAAACTTTTTTAGGCTGCTTATAATAACCATTAGGTATACGTTTTGATTCTTTATTTCATTAATGAAATATTTTAAGTTTGTAACAGACATAATAGAGTTCATGTTCAAATGATACATAGTAAAAGCCACCAGAAATTTTCAGCTCTCATTGTGAGTAAACTCTGAGTGGTTATAATATAGTTAAAGTAAATATTTTTTAAACTAAAGATATCTTCATGATAAAATATAATTTTAAATAACAGTATGTTAAACAAAATTAAACGAGATATTATAATAACTAGTGTTTTTTAAGTTAAAAAAAAAAAAAAATTAAATAAAAATATAAATTTCCGTTAATAAATATCACATTTTATGTTCAGTCTTGAAGTTAATTTGAAAAATATGGTACGTAAAATATAACCAACCAAATGTATTAAAGGGTTGAGAACATAAATTATGGGGCGCTTGAAAATGTTTGTTCCTAAACTTCTTTATAATAATTATGACAATATTAATAATATAACTATGCGCCATAAAATTAAAAACTCAACTCAAAAGTTAATTAAAAAATGTAAATTATTATAAAAGTACATTAAAATAAAAGTTTTGAATAATAAATCGTGTTTGATTGATAATTATATTTTTCTAAACGAATAGATATTCATATACAATGACAATTTATATTCATTACATATTAACTTTATGTTATATTCATTTATACTTTTTTTTTTAAGTTATAGATACGAATAAACTTTTATCAAATGTATTTACTTTAGATTATATTAATACATTTCATGTGAAACGTATACATCTCGTATTATTACAAATATTGTTATATTCTTGGTAAAACATGTTTTAATATCATTTATTCATAATGTTCAATATTTTAAAATATGATAACTATGGTAAAACAGTACATTTTATATTCTTTTGATTACTCGTTTAATTTGAAATAGATTTTTCTAAGTCATCAGAGGTATTTAAGTATAACCCAGGATGAGGAATTGAATAGCTATTTTAAGTTCTGTCGAACATTACATTTCTTAATTGTGATTTACCGTGTTTAAGAGTTAAACGATTTCTACATGAAAAATGTGGTCCAATGTTTTGTATAAATTAAGTCATGGGGATCCGAGGAACTCTTGGAATATTCTTTAGATATGACCTTGGTTCTACTTAAGAACTTAATATCACTTGTTTTTTATCGTAACATAGAATAATATCACAAATGACGTGAAAAATGATAAAGCGGGGCTCATATACGTAGTAGTACAATATTATAATCCTCATCACTCTTCTGTTGAGTATTCTAGAACAAATTTTCTTTTTTCTGCAAACTTAAACACGCACACACGTCCACAAACAAAAATGATTTAGTACGCGTTTATCATCGAATGTGAAATGGAGTGGCATAGTTTCGTAAACCAAACCATGTTGAAACTACGCGCGTTCTTTACTCGTAATTTTGTAATGCGCTGGTGAAATTGATTAATTTCTAATCGAAAACAACGTGCATTTTGTTCTGTTATTTTTTATTTTATTTTTTTTTACTCAATACAAGGTAAAATTCAGCCTTTGTTTTGTGTATGTGTTCCGATATGTTTTCGTACGATTGGATCTCAAATAGGCTTTAAAATATAAAATCACTGCAGTTTGGGCGAAAAATAATATATGTTGTCATATTATTTTCGTTCTTGGTCCAGATCAATATAGGAATAGGAAAAATACAGTTCATGAATATGTTTGATACCATAGTGTACCATAGCATTAATACTATTTGAACATCACGATTAGTTGACGATTGACGATATTATATCTTACCTTATATTATCACAACTAAATCGTGTAACTGATGACATGCAAATAAGCTATTAACTACAGCCCATATTAAAGTGCTATTTTAAACTCAAATCAATTCAAACTAACACTGAAAAAAATGTGTATATATATATATATATAAATTTAATTTTAATTTCAACAGTGTATTTAATTTTGTGGTTTGTCTAGAATTATTTTAAATATTAATATTTATATTCATTAATGTCCCTAAAAATAATAACTATGTAATGCTTCATAATCATAATAATGTAATGCAATACGAGTACAATGATTAATTTTAATAATATATATTGTTCTTTAAAATGTTTTAATGTTTCTTTTTAAAAAAGTTCAAAACTATAATAATTTATAGAATTTTCTTACAACCAACAATAAATCACTTAATAAAATTGAAGTATCAGATATTTGAGAAATTTAAATTACATTTATATGGTTGAAGGGTAAAATCTATAGATTTTTTTGTTAAAATATGGCAACTTGATCTTAATTGTTATTTCTTGTTTCAAATATACTGTATGTGAAAATAATTGTTTTCTTAAGCCCTAATTTTATAACTTAAATGGTCGTACTTGATACGCAAAAAAAAAAAAAACCGTTACTGAGTTAGACTGATAATATTTTAAACAAAAAGTTATAATCAGTAAATCACTTTGGGTAGTTTGTTTGAGAACTATCGTAATTTTATCATTTCACCATAGATTATAATATTACACAATATTTAGCATATATAATTAAAGATACATTCATGTATAATAAACACTTAATTTTATAATTTTAAATTTTGTAAGTCATCATTGAAATTATTTCAGTTATATTAATGAATAAGGTGTCTAAAGTTTATTTTCGAAAAATTTAATTTAATTTATACCTAAAACTATTTTCATAATTCAATATAATATAAGACATTTAACCTATTTCAATATTTCAAATTTAAATATATTTTTATAATTTTTTATTAAAAATTAATTTAAAAATATACTGAAATCTGTAAAAATATATAGTGTATATTTCAAATTAAAGTTTAAATAATAGATATAACGAATTAAAAATATTTAATTACACGAAAACCATATAGACACTATATATAATGTAGATATAGATAACAATGTATCATTTAATAATGCTTAATTTGTATGGTGTTAATTATAATATTGAATAAAAAAAAAAACGTAGGTCATTTAAACTACCAAATGAAAAAATGTTTTGTAAAATACAAAAAGATATCTTAATTTTTTAAGTATCAAACTGCATACTATT